TTCTTTTTCAGTTCGATATTGCTTGCGAAAAAGTTAGGGCTTTCACCAAACGTCCCACCGATGATGAAATGTTAGCATTCTATGGACTCTACAAGCAGGCCACCGTAGGAGATTGCAATATCCCTGAACCCAGTGATGAAGATTTAACTGCCAAAGCAAAATGGAATGCATGGATTAGATACAAAGGTATAATCAAGCAGGTGGCCAAGACTGGTTATATTTTAACCCACAAGAAGTATGCCCCACAATATGCTTAAAGTTTATATATTTCTAGTTCTTGACTGATTATGTAGTTAATTATGTATATGGTTATGTTAAACAAACAGTATTAAATAAATATAAAAAACTAAATATTAAACTTAATAATAAAATTATTTTATTTATGAATTTATTTAAATTAGATAACATAGTAATTTAATTATTATGTATTATATATTGCGATACCAACTTCTGAGGCTACCGGCTAATAAAATTATTATAATAAAATTAAATTAATTTTATTTAACTATATCCACTTACATGACGGAAATTGTCTACTATATCCTTGAGATTATACTGTCAATAATAACAAAAATTGATATGAATAATAATAGAATATATATTATTATTACCACGGTTAGAGATATATACTTTTTCTATATTTCAAAAATTACTCTCATGAGCAATGGGAACGTAAGTATTTTTTCTTCGTTTATAAAAATTATTACGTATTTTACAATAAATATATTTTTTAGATTTATGTCATAAAATTTTTTTAAATTTATTAAAATACATTACCGACATTTCAATTTCTTGAGAAATATAAGTCCAGTAGTTCTTGGATTATTTTCCTAATTTTAATATATGTTCTATACTTTATTTGCAAATAGAGATACTGATAAGATGTAATTGAATAATTCATCCAGAAACAAGGTCCCATGATCTCCACAGAACCTTACAATAGACTTATCTACTCTAAAAGAGATAAGTAATTTTGTGGTGACTTCTGACAATCAATTGCTATATGATGGAATATTAAGATAAACAATTTGTGTCAACAGATTGAAGCTGAGTTATGTTACTTACAGGGAATACGACATTACCAACCAAGCACCGGTTATTGTAAAAATATAATTCTGCAGGAATCACTACACATCGGAATCATCTCATGAAACTCTCATAAAATTCAGTAAAAACTATGTGCTCAGGTTATTCAGAATATTTCTTAAGAAAATTAATCGATTAGCTTAAATAATGTTAAGATCTCCTTATTTTGGCATTAGTTTATCACATCGCTAGCCAATTTTTATATAGTAACCTTGAATATTCATCGCCAAGAAGACATTTTAGATAATAACCTTGGAAATTCGGTTACATTACATATATTCTTGTAAAAGAGTATCGATTTTGAATTTTCAGGGTTATATATGGCATCCAAGAGCGAGATGTTGAAGTATATTATAAAATAAAGGGTACAGCTAACCCTAAGTTGTAGTACTAAATAGTGACAGTATCGAGCATTTCTCCTACTGACTGTAGGAGAAATACGAAACCATTTTTAATTATTTGAGGACCATTTAGAGATTTGATTTCAGACAGGTCAAGTGTTAGCTTCGCAATATATGAGTCGTTAAAGACCACATTTAAGTTCTTAATTGTGATCTACCTATTGTATAATGTATAAGCTAGATGCGTATTTATACTAATATTGTTTATAAGACCGTCTATATGTGTACTTTTGCAGATAGTTCAGCTCGCGTGAATACAAACTTACATTTTTAGTCTCTCCAGACACTATTATTATATTATTTAAAATTATGTATAAGTCTCTTTTATGAGCATTTATGACTTTTATGAGCACTACAAAAAACAAAGTCAAGACTTCTGTTTATATTATGATATATTTAGGATTGAAAAGATTTTTTATTAATTTATAATTAAATTATTAACTAAAAAAATTCAAATAATTTATAGATAAAAAAAAACAATTAGCTATTTGTTCATTTTTTCATTAATGTATGCCAATTCAGTTTTAAGCACACGTTTTTGCAAAGTGAGATGCTTATTGAGTTCTTTATACAGATCCTCCTTTTCCAGGGGACGTTGTGAGTTTTGCTCTTCCCGAATCAACATTGAGAGATCTTGAGTTGATTTAATTATTACATTAAACTTTTCTTCTATATTTTTAATACTCATTTCAATATTTTCTATAGAATTTGATATCTTTTCAAGTAACTTTTCTTGATTCGAGTTATGTGGAATATCAGCCACCGAATTAGATTGCATATCAGTTTCATTTATAGATTGATTGTCTATTTCTTCATCTTCACTGCTATTATTTGAAGAGGTTTCATTTATTTCCTCACGTTTCTTTTCCCTACGACGTCTTTTATATGCAATTCGACCCTTTCCACTACGTTTATTGAGTTTACGTTTTTTCTTCTTTTTTAAAGCAGTTTTTTTCTTTTGGAACTAAATTAAAAATAAAGCGATTTAAATTGATTGCAAAAAGAACACAAATAAAAAATACCAACATGATACGATAATAAACGCTTCCTATAGTTTGGATCTAATATATTAAATTCTTTCGTAATTTGCATCCAAGAACCTTGTAATGCAGCTTTGGAATACATATCTTCAGCGATTAGCTTAGTATTTCTTATAAATTCTTGAAATTCGTTAAGATACTCGCTATTGACATTTTGAGATTTATTCAGATCTTCAGAACTGAAACAATATGTTTATTATTATTTTCCTGGTTAGTCACACCCCTTTTGATAAGCCCATACTTTGAAATAAAATGTAAAGTATATATACCATATATTTATATTATAATATACATAGTGTTTTCAAACTGAATGTAATAATCGCAGAAGATTATAATATATAAGGTTTGATTGCTTTTTTATATAAGGTTTATATAATTATGGGATTGAACGGAAAACGATCCAAATGTGATATAACATTATCTAGGCTAAATGATGACTTATTTTAACATTGTGAACGAACAATACAAAACATTCACCAAATAAAGTCATAATTTCTTTATATAGATATAGGTATATTTGACTCTAATTCGATCTACCATTTTTCAGTAAGAATATCTCTATCCCTAAGAAGGATCTCTAAAGTACTAAAAACTATTCGAACTCAATTAATATTTGGGCACATATTGAGCAGATATAAAATTGACTATTTCGGACAAATGTCAGTAAGAGAATGACGCTCGAAGCACCATACCTTTTTGATTCAGAAATTGCTCAAATCAGGATCAGGATTAGGGATCATTTAAACCTTTTCTAAGGGCGGCGTACTGTGCTTGATGCATGTCCAAATTGCAATACTATATCGCATGGTGCAGTTCATTCATTTGAATGTCCCAGCACGTAGAGAAGTCTGAGTTTAGTTGAAGCAAAATTTAGCTGAGACCAGTGTATAACAAGTGCAAAATATCATTGATCTGGGTTTCATAACACCCAGAGGTATAAGGAAATGATTTTGTTGATAGTTAGATTAGGATCAGAAGCAGCCTCAGCAGAGAAAGAAGTAGCGGTCTGATTAAATAAAAAAACTAATAATTAATCATTTTCTTAGAGTAACGGAACATAAATAAAGGACTGCAAAGGTTTGCGGAAAATCGTAACTATCATAACGAGGTTCCAATTTATCGAAAACAAACAATTTTATTGAGTAAAGCCAAGACTAAATGCCAAACTCACGGCGGTACTGACAGGCTACTGAACAGTGTATATCTATTTTGAAAAATTGGATATTTTTTTTCAAATTTAGGAGCTGCATTGGAGAAAAAGAAACAGGAGCACATTTCCTTTGCAGATGACCCAGTCAAACGAATAGATTTTGCGGACATTACAATCTTAGATTTTCCAAAAATAATCTCCTTTATCCATTGCATGCGTTTGGTTTTAAAACTTGGAACTTTATGGCGGGTTGTGTAGTAGCAGAACGACATTAATGGGTTAGTTAGATGAAAGAGGAAGTTTGGCAATTGTACCAACCAACCAAGTGATACCTGCATCTATAACTATGGAGGAAAATTGTTGAACATTTATAATCCTGCATGTTTTTTATGTGTATTGAAACTACAACTCTCTAACTAATGGTGCATACACACTTAATTATCCCACGATACATATAAATTTTAGTTCATATTAAATTTACGCATACTAACATAGTATGCGAATTATGCTTTCAGTTTACTGAGTCTATCCTAATAGCTGCTCTATTACAGCAACAACATTATAAAACATTTATATGGTTTCAAAAACGGCTGGGTCTACGTCCCGGAGCCACTCGTCACCTATAACAACCTTCATACAATTTAAAATAATTGAATAATAAATGGCATAATGTTATTTTATTAAAAGAACAGTTAAAACTTTATCTTTTATTGATGAAATTAAATCACCTTAATTTATTGAAATAAATATTGAAATAAAGTTTAATATTATTGAATATTGAAAAAAGGTTAGTAGTAATATATTTTCAATTAAAAAAAAGCAACACTTGGTCTACATAAACCAAGCATAAATTTATTATATTATCAGTTTTTTAACTATTACAGTAAATCAAATTTTATACTAAAATACAAAATTTATTGAAGAATTAGACCTCATAAATTATAGATTTCTAAGTTGTTAATATACGATGAGTAAGATTATTATAAAGGAACCAATTATTTTAACAGCTAATCTACATTTGCTTGATATCTAAGTACAATTCAGTCTAAGGAAAATCCGATTATTGCAGTTTTGCACTTTTTATTGCATTTAATATAACAAAATCCAAACAATAATCGGTAAATGATAAGATTTATTTTTATTGAATAGGTTTTGGTAAGCACAGATTTCCGTACCGACTTTGCTATAAAAAGAAACTGAAACGAAGTAGAGAAGCATTAGAACAGCACTTCTATTACTACTAATAACCATGGATGTAAGTTCAAAATAGTTTTGTTAAAAAAAAATTATTATAAAATTAGAACTGAAAATAAAAATAATTAATTTTTTACTACAGTTCCACACTGCTTGCGAGAAGGCTAAAGCTTTTACCAAGAAACCCACCGATTCTGAATTCTTGGAATTTTACGGTCTTTACAAACAAGCCACGGTTGGAGATTGCAACATTGGTAAGCCTAGTGCTATTGATCTAACGGCCAAAGCTAAATTTGACGCTTGGAACCAACATAAGGGCATGTCACAAGATGCTGCAAAGGCTGCCTATATTGGAGTCTATCAGAAATATGCACCCAAATATGCTTGAAGAATCAATTAGTAAGAAAGCTGTAAGAGGCTGCATTTCCTAATAAAATTTCTTATCCTTAGAATAAAGTTGGGACTAATGGTTTAGATATGCAAATTAAGTGTTCATCTTTGTTATTACATACATAAAAATATGTATTAAAAATATGTGTTAAATTAACTACAAAATAAATTGTACAAAAAAAAAACAGCAACTGCATTTCTTTATTACTATTAAATGTAATTAAACTATTAAGTAGCAAAATATATTAACAATTTTATAAGTGGCCAATAAATGCATCGTAAACATAAAATAAATTAATTTTTAATTAAATTAGCCGGCAACAAAGTTTCTTCTGGATATCGTCTATGATTACGCGTTAATGTACTTTGTGCTATTGATAGCAAATTTTCAGTTGAAAAAATAAATAAAAATAAAAACATTTATATTAATCTATATAGGCACAGCCATATGACTAACAATTCTGGACATTATATGCATTGTCACCAAATGTATATATGACATATTTATCTACATACATAAGAATAAAACTTTTTTAATCAATATTTGCCCACAATTTGTCAAAATTTCAGTTAGCACAGGTTCTGCTCTAATCATAAAATAGTAAATAATAATATTTCATATATATGGTAAAAACATATAAATCGATATCTTAAATAATGCATTAATATTGTCAGCCGTGCTAATACATTAACTTATCGAACAATTATCGCAGCTCTGATAAGTTTTATGACAGAATTTTGTCTTAACATTCATTTTTTCTGGTATAAAAGAGCGATTAGTAAAGTTTTCTAGCATTCATTGACTTCAAGTGGACCTAATTAAACACAACATGGACGTAAGTTACTTTAAGACTCTGCTCTACAAAACTGCACTGGTATTAACTTCTTCTTCTCTTCTTCCTTTCCGTTTTAATATAACAGTTCAGCACTGCATGCGAAAAAGCTAAGGCCTTCACCAAGCGCCCAACCGATGAAGAGTTCTTGGAATTCTATGGTCTCTTCAAACAAGCCACAGCTGGAGATATCAATGTTGATAAACCAGGTGCATTGGACTTGAAGGGCAAAGCTAAATGGGATGCATGGAACAAACACAAGGGCTTGTCACAAGATGCAGCCAAAGCCGCCTACATCGCAGTCTATAAGAAATACGCACCCAAATACGCTTAAATTTATACTTGTATGGATTAAATAAGTTATAGAACAAATTTAAAAATAAAAAAAATTCAAAAATAATAAGAGAAATTGTTTTTACTTTTACATTAAATAATAATTATTTTACAAACTGCGATGATACACAAAAATAATTGAAATTTAATTCAACTTTAGTGAAAAGTCGGAAAGGGTGTCTTAAGGGTTAACGAAGATGAACTCATAGACAGACATAAAGATGACAGTAGAAGGCTATGAAGAAAGGTTACAATACTACGTTGTTACTAAAGATTCACTATTAGCAAGATTTGATAGTCACAACGTAATAGTTGCTTTTTATTATATAAATTGGCTGTATATAATTCTACTATTGATACTAACTTAAGTTAAAAATTAATAAACGATTTAAATATGAGAGCATATGCTACTTTTTGATCAATTAGTCCGTACTTGATGAGTACAGCCAATTATTTTCTATATATAAATCTAACTATATTCTTATTAATTTGTAATCGTTTTTTATTTGGTGTTTAATTATCTTGATTATGAGAGGTATAAGACGAAAGAAAGAGATAGCACCTTGGCCCTACAGTAGTTGTGCTAAGAGATACCTATAACACGGTACTTAAAATTAAGATGGAATTAAATTTTTTTGCTCGAAGGTCACTGCCAGATTAATTTTAGAGGTGTCTACATAAAGTTCAGCAGAAAGTTATACGGTTGAAACCTCAGATCAGCCTTAATCGCGTCGAAGATCTAAATGAACCGATATACTTAAATACGAAGTGATTAAAATAATTATAAACTAATATAGCTATTAGTATAGGTTATATATATATAAGCTATATAAAATGTCATTACAAAATTGTGAGTGAATTCTTTCTTCGATGAGAAAAAACCTTTAGATAGTTTTTAAGTATAAGAGTAAAACCTCAGAAAACATAGGTTTTAGTGTAGTAACTACTATGATGATGTTATTTAAAAAATCCCTTTAGGAACTCTTAGTTGAAAAATTTTAAGAACAAACTATTTGACTATTAAAATTATATTAATTTGTTGCGGAAACATAAGTTTGATGGACTCAATTGATGGAGTCAATTAAATAACGCAACACAACAACAACGTATTTATTATAAATATTATTTATTGTTAAATTATTTAGTTTAATTTATATAATTCCAAGTAGATATGGATAATGCATTATAATATACTACCCATATCAAATTCTTTTAACTAGTTTCATGAATGGGGAGTTCATGAATAGTAGATACTTCCATAACCTATCTACTGACTATATTCACCACGAAAGTTATCTACTAAACTTTCTTCATATATAAATTTTAAACTTACCGTGACATTTCACCTTTGCTTTTAGTTTTAGCTAAACCCTCTTTGGCTTTGTTTATAAGTCCTGACATATCTCCAACAATACGATTTTTCTCCTGTGTAGGACTTGTGGGCATATTGCTGAGTTTCTGTGTTAAGTCTTTCACGGTGTGATCACGTTTTAATTGATTCAACACTTTTTGTTCCTCATCAGATTCTAAAGAAGATTCATAAAGGTTAGTGGATAATACATATAAATATATACAATATAAAACTCTATATACATGTACATAATAAAAGTAACAACTGAACAGTAGAAGTTGTTGCTTTCATTAAATACTAACTACATCAGACATAACTCAGGTAGTATGCAAGTTTGTAACGCAAGAAGGAGGGGCGGTAATATGATCATTTTTGGCATAGTGTGTATGTGAATGAATAATAACTGCAGATTGGGCATTTTACAGAGCTTGCATTATTAAGCTTACCTGATGGTGGCAACAAATTTTCTTGTTCCAATACAGCCTGATTATCAATTGACTTAGTAGATTCAAGTATTTGCTTACGTGGTAAAGTGAAACCAAACATTTCCATCGATGGTGGTGGCGGAGGTGGCGGTGGAGGAGGGGGTGGTGGTACCACACTCGCTGGAACAATATTTAAACATTGCAAATCTTCTGGAACAACTGGAACGACCGGAACGACCTCTACTTCTGCTATAGGTTGTAGAGGTACTTCAGCAGTAGGTGATTCTGCGAATACAGAATCATTTGAACCAGTGGGTGTAAGTGGACTTGTTGGACTTAACGATAAATCGTATTTATCGTCCACATTATCAATATTATTTATCACATTACTGTTAGTCTTATTATTGTTATTTGGTGTTGAGATTTGCGTAAAATCGAAACCGTTCAAAGCCTTCTTTGGACTTAGCACAGCTGCCAAAGCACTCTGTGCGCTTTGTAGCGTAGGGCTTTGATTCTGTATATGTAGATTCTTTGGTGTGCTCAACTGATTATAATAGTTGTTTAGACGATTAGCTTCACTTTCAAACTTCTTATATGATGTATTGTTATTGGGTTCCGGTTCGTGTCCGCGATGTATATTCTTCATAATACCATTGATCACAGTTGCGTTGCGTTCGATAAGCAGATTCTTCTTGGTCAAGAACTCGGGCGTTGCTTGCAATTTATTGTTGGCCTTATCGAAGCTGTTGTTGATAATGGAAATCGAGTTGCTGCCTTGTAGTTGTTTCGTAGGACTCATTAGGTTGTTGTTATTGTTGGAAATGTTATTATTTATGTTGTTAATGTGATTGTTGGAGATGTTGCACGTATTTTTGTTGGAACTGCTCATATTGTTAGTAGTAGCAATTGCTGTGACACTGGGGTAATTTGAGGTTGAGGTGGTTACATTTAATGATTCAGGTGGACTGTCGCTATTATTAATGGTTGCTGGTATGGCAGTAACGATTTGTCCTATTCGATTTGGCAGCATAAAAGCGCGTTTTGAACAAAAGCAAGAATTCAAAAAGCATCGCAATGTTTATATATATATATTTTTTTTTTTTGAATAATGTTAAATAGCACATATGACGTGTTATAGACAGGAGCACACAGAATAAAAGTTTGAAGAAAATAATTATATTAATTAATAAAATAAATAATTGATTGTTAGTTAATTTTGAATAAGAAGAAAAACTTACCAAGTTCACGTTTTTCTAGTGCTGCCAATATACCGTTTGCAGCGGCTTCCTGTTGCTCTCTAAGGAAACTTTTATGCCTTTCAGCGCGTTCACGTCTGCGACGTAAACCAGGTGTAACACCAGCACTATCCAAACCTATTAATAATAAAATATGATTATTGATTATGATTATTTTTTTTTAACAAAATGACAAGTACTTGTATTTGACATTTGTTTGAGATATAAAAAAAAATTGTTTATTCGAAAAATGATTTTTAGACTTACTTTTCCTATCCAAAACTAAACCATTGCTCACTTCAGTCGAATTTGTTGAACCAGAACTATCTTCATCCAGAACGCCATGCGTATTCATTTTCTTTGGTGATTGTATCACAGCTGGATTTGCACCTGTGCTATGTCGTCTTGACTTCCGCCTCTCCGCAGTATCGGTGCCCTGACGATATCTTTGAGTTTTGCGTACAGAATTATCAGGCAAACGTATGCCATCGGATTCACCATCTTCAAATCTGGTAGATGACATTAATAAGAAATATTTATTATAGCATTTATTATAATTTTAAGCGAATTTTATTATAAAACTGATTTTAATAAAAACTTTTGACTTTAAACTTCATTACAAATCAACCGGTTGTAATTTTAATTTGCTGAATATTTTGAAGAAGCAGCACAAGAAATAAGTGCTATGCTGCCAGATCATTAAATTTTCAAATTTCGTTTGTAATATATTGAATTGCTAAGATTATAAGATTATAAAACTTATATTAGAAAAGGTAAGATGGGATATATCTTAGAAAATTGTTATCGCTTGAAATGTATCAACTTTTAGGTAGACATGAGCATAGTTATTATATAGCCCAGTTTAAATAATCAAAGTAATGAAGTAACAATACTGCCGAAAACTATGATTTAACAGCGCAACTGAGTTTAATGTCAAAAAAGAATATGTTAATGAATCTATTAATATTCTAAGATTTTAAAACATGAATTTCAAAAAGTTAATCGAATAGAAATCGTAATTCACAATTTCCTAAAATTTCAGTTAGCACAGGTTCTGCTCTAATCATAAAATAGTGAAAAATAACAATTCATATATAAAAACATATAAATCGATATCTTAAATAATGCATTAATATTGTCAGCCGTGCTAATACATTAACTTATCGAACAATTATCGCAGCTCTGATAAGTTTTATGACAGAATTTTGTCTTAACATTTATTTTTTCTGGTATAAAAGAGCGATTAGTAAAGTTTTCTAGCATTCATTGACTTCAAGTGGACCTAATTAAACACAACATGGACGTAAGTTACTTTAAGCCTTTGCTCTACAAAACTGCACTGGTATTAACATCTTCTTCTCTTCTTCCTTTCCGTTTTAACATAACAGTTCAGCACTGCATGCGAAAAAGCTAAGGCCTTCACCAAGCGCCCAACCGATGAAGAATTCTTGGAATTCTATGGTCTCTTCAAACAAGCCACAGCTGGAGATATCAATGTTGATAAACCAGGTGCATTGGACTTGAAGGGCAAAGCTAAATGGGATGCATGGAACAAACACAAGGGCTTGTCACAAGATGCAGCCAAAGCCGCCTACATCGCAGTCTATGAGAAATACGCACCCAAATACGCTTAAATTTATACTTGTATGGATTAAATAAATTATAGAACAAATTTAAAAATAAAAAAAATTTAAAATAAAAAAATTCAAAAAAAAAGAATAAAGAAATTGTTTTTATTTTCACACGAAATAATAATTATTTAACAAACTGCGAGGATATGACAATGATATAGAAAGTGAGGAATTTTTGAATAGATTATTTTATATTGCCTTACTTTTACTGAGAGTGTTAAGGCTTTATTGATAAGTCGGAAATCTAAACTTAAAGAAAATACCGCATGAAAGTGACAATTAAACGATTGCTTGGAATTCATAATAGAACTTTGTTACTAAAGAGACACTGTAGTCAAGATTTAATAATCTTCCTTTAAGTTGCTGTAATGATTACAGTACATTGTACAACTACAGTACCGTACAATTGCTTTTCTTTAAGTCAATTAATCATATATAAGTCTTTAGAGAATAGAAGAAAGAACACTTCATACTGATATAAAATTTTTATTAGCAAATATTTATCAGAAATTATTTACTCTTAGTTAGCTAATAACATAATGTGCAGCCCAGTTTAAATAATCTTCGTAATGGAATAAAAATACTGCCGAAAGCTATGACTTTCACGGAGCAACTGAGTTTATTGTAAAAAAAGAATATGTTAATGAATCTGTAAGATATTCTAAAATCAGATTAAGATATTATTGAAATTATTGTAAGGTATGCGTTCTATTAAAATTTCATCGACTAAGAATTACAATTATACCATATTGAGAAAACAATAGTCTATCTAGATAAAAAATTACTTAGTGTAGTATTTTAAGAGATCTACGTACTTCAATACTGCTTCATATAGCTGTAATTGATCTAATAAATCTATGTCTGTTCCTGGTTTAGACATATATCTTTGTATGACTGACTCCATGCCTTGTTGTTCCAATAAATCTGTCTCATCGTAGAAAGTGTCTTGATCGTTTAGACCAGCAAGTGTTTTATTTATTAAAGATGTGGCATATATAACTAGCTCGGCATCGGCATTATCATAATCTTTTAATAGTCTGAAAAAATAAATTAATTAATCGTAAATCATAAATCTTTAAAATGTTATAAAAAAATTAATTCAAATTAGTATTTTTTTTAAAAAAATTGGTGTTTGGTGAAATAAAAATATTTTAAAAAAATGCTATATGGAAATGGTATTTTTCATTAGATAGCTTATCTCAAGATTAAACTAAAATTTAAAATTATTTTTATTAACATTAATTTTAAAATTATTGTTGAACTAAATATAATAACAGCTCTGTTCTTGCAAATTTATTAAATTGAATTCGTTTAATATTGCACAGCCTAAAGGTATGCTTTGAAAAATTTTAGTACTAAATATTAATATCATGAAAACTCACCTCATTATATTTGACCATGGTAAAGTGCCCTGTGATTTATCCACCGCATGTATAGCACTAACCAACACATAACAATTTGATTCTGCATATTCAACAAAAACTAGTAAAAGTTTTAAGGCTGTTTTCACCACAGAACGATAATTCGATGCGATCAGTGAGTATAGCCACTGCATGGTGGGTTCGTGCTTCATAACACCATTCATACCGTCCACGTACAACATCACCTGTTGGTTTGTTGGTCCGTTGATGTGGAAAGAAATAAATAAAGAAATAAATAAATAAATAAAATAAAATTATTATATTTAAGAGAGAGAAAAAAAATAGAATATATATATATATTTAATGTTGATCAAATACGGCAAGAACATATTACTTTGGCATAGTAATAAATCGGTGCAAGCAAAGCTATTCCATATCACAACATACCTGACCCAATGCACGCAAGATGTAATTCTGATAATTTTGGTCAGCACCATTACCAACACGCACAAGACAATTGAGACCACCAAGTGCCACAAACGCATGCACTAAGTCCTTATCCTCTTGGAAAACTTGCTTCAGCGAGAATAAAGCACGTCGTAGATCGCTACCTTCGGCAGAAAGTAATTTTTCTAAAAATTGCAAGAAAATAAATATAAGAAAAATGGCTAAATATTACATATTGCGGTCAAAATAAGATTAAGATTAAAGTAGATTTTTATTTTCGCATAAAACCGAATTCATAGCACAGTTGCAGATAATGAAAATTAATCGATCCCATGCCACACCTTTTTAACACCTTCTTTGTACACAGGCAGTCAGTCCAATACGTCGGGGGTACATAATTTGTTGTGTAAAAAGTTGGTATTTGATTAATGAAAAATCGTATTTGATAAATGAAAACGTAAGCTACGAGTATTTAAAGTTAAATGGGGAACTGTGCAAAAAACCCAAACAAACGATGGTAAAAATGATTAAAATATTAATATGAAACTATTAATACTGCCGGCCTAGTTTTTAGCGCTGATACCGAAAGAAATATTCAAATATAATAAAATAGTTTATAAGTGAGATAAGCATATTTTATATAAAATGTGTCGGAAACAAAAAGAGTTTGAACTAGTTTTTGAAATACAGAAAAAAATGTTGCTAAATATTTAATACTTAAATAGTTACGGGAATATAATCTTATATTTTTCATTTAAATAAATCATATGAACTTTATACATAATTTCTGCAAAAATTATATTGATTGCTATTTGCTCAGAAATCAGAAAAAGTTAATAAAAAAACTTAAAATTTCAACAACAATAATTTTTTGCAGCTCTGGCTCGTTCGGTTTATACATGCTCTAGTCATTTGCTTTAAATTTGACAGGTTCCAGGTTCCACGCTCTAAACCTATATAGATGGCAGTATGTAAAGTACTAGAAATGTGTTTACATAAAATAAGCTGGCAAGAAAAGCAAAATAAAGAAGGATCTAATATCTTTCTTGAGATCAGATAGCTCACACAGTACCAAACAATACTCTTCACTACAAGTCTCTTCATTTAGTCTCTAAAATGAGTTTATAGAGTTTATAGAAGTTTACTATAAACTCCAAATATTTATTGATAAGTGCCTATACCACTTGTGCCATTCTATGATATAGACTAGGGCTGGTCAAAGTAATGTTTTTACGACTCGCGACATGTTTGTAATCTACTATAAATACGCAAATTTTCTTTGGTGTATTGATAAAACCACATTATTTTATTTTTATGATATACAAAATAAATTAATTTAAATTAATAAATTAATAAAACTAAACTTAACGTTATAACCATATTTATAATGTTAAAATATATTTATAATATCAACTATGAACGTATGTATTTGTTTCTGCGGTCGTCCAATCTGAACAGAAAATTGTATTGGCCCGCGATCGCAACTGCGCTGGACGGCCCTGATCTAGGCAGTATAACCACATGTAAGCGTGTAAATATCAGATAGGGCATATGTTTTGAAAAGACGGCCCGTGCATACACATGTGATATACTATTATTAATTATTAAATAGAGTCAAACCATTTGAAAAAAGTTGGTTACACGCAGAAATTCCAGGTATATAACATATATTGCGAAGATTCTTAATAAAATAAATGTATTGGACAGAATTTTAGATTGTGAATCACTGGTAAAGCGAAATGAAATAGACTAATTTTTGCAAAGAATCAAACTATATAAATAAAATTCCATCATTTGTGACAGCAAAAGTTAAGATCATCAACTATTACAAAACTGGGTTAAAAAAAGATGATGGAATCTAAATTCACTTGACTATGGAGTCTATGGAAAAGAAAGAAGGGAGTATGGTTTTTGTTCATCAAAAACATGATATGATTGAAGCACATAACCAAGCGTGACATTAACATGTAAAAAAAATTTAATTCTAATTAGTAAAATTATAAAATCGAACACAACATTTGATATGCTCGGAATTAGTCTAATCCAGCGGTTCTCAAACTTTTTTAAATATTGAGCACCTTCTAACATCTAAATTTAGCATGGAACACCTTTAAAATTGGAAATTTCAAGAAACACTGGGAATGTGCTTAGGGTTTCACGACGTATAATGCATATAATATAAATCCTGATATTGCGTATGAAGACCTCTGCTGTCTAAACGGTAAAGCTAGAAGTGCTGTATGTCTAATATTATAAGGAGTTGCTTCTTAGTCATATCATTACTTCTCAGTTGTAATATTAGCATTTGAAGCAATTAAATATGATACTTTAGGATGTGTAGTCAAATTTGATGAAAAGAAAGGGTGTTATTTCCATCTCGACAATGATAACTCGTCCAAAATGATTTAGATTAGCAGTTTAAATGCATCCACAGTATTGTCCAGACTTTGCAACATTTCAAAACTTTTTACCTCAATTTCTTTAGAACTTTCTCTAACAAAATATTTTCTGAATAACGAATATTTTGTGCAATTCAGGCTTAACCACGCGCTAGTCATTTCCTTCAAATTTGACATATTCACAGTTCTTTGCCTGACAATGGTAATCTAAAAATTGTTTACGGACCTGAAAAATCAACGAATATTTCTAAACCACTGATCATAAGTTTTGGGAATATTCGAAACAGCTGTATGATCGGCCAAAAATTTTATATTTATTTAAAAATGAAATTTTGTTGTGATTAACTACTATACAAAAACTCTTCAAATTGTATAATTAAGCAGAGCCAATCTCAATCAATCTCATTAGAAACCTTGGAACCAAGAGGACCCACAGAATATGTAATTTACTACCTGAAAGTTCTTAAATCTTAACTTGTAAAAGTTTATTTTAATCTCTTGAGTATGATGTTAGCAAGAGGTTACACAGAATGTATTAATAACTAGTTAAAGTTTCTAAACTATAACTTCTAAAAGTATGAAGAAATCTATAAAAGAGAACGACTCATCAAATTCAAATATTGTAAATATATTTAAATTTAATAATTGTTAATAAAAACTTTCATAGCAAAAGTAACAAAACTCCAGCAAAAATATGCGAACATAAAAAGTCAAGTACGGCTTTGGATCAGTTGGTTAAGGTGCGCTGATTCTGAGCTTCATATTTGGCAGGACCCAAGTTCGATTCCTGGTACTTGCAGTCTTAAAAATAATTATTTACGAATAATTAAATATAAGAATTATTTCCAAGACCACTGATGAAGGGTATTTGGCAATACTCGAAACAGCTGTATGGTCAGCCAAAAATTCAATTAATTAAAATAATTTAAAAAATAAATTTTTGTTGTTTCACTTCTGTTCGAAAACCTCTTTATATATTGTTTTTTAAATAATTAAAAAATATGAAATGAGTCAATATCTTTTAGATTTTGCTATATTTTAATGATACTGAGTTTTAAATTTGGCAGGATACGAGTTCAACCCTTCTTACTTGCAGTCTCAAAAAAATTATTTACGAATAATTAAATATATATTATTTAGGAATAATTAAATATAGGGAATAATTCAGAGAACACTGATGATGGGAATTTGGCAACACTCGAAACAATAATAAAATTTTGTTGTTGCAATTCACTATTGTTCGATTAGAACTTCTCTGTTGAAAACTATAATCTTTATTAGAAAGTTAGTACTAATCAATGAAATATTTTAATAATAATTTTATGAGTGCTTAGCTACATTTAAGTATTCTAACAGATCTTGCTTCAAAGACAAGACAACCCTTTCAGAAATCCACAGTGCAAAGATTTTGTGTTTACTCGTCTTTCTAGCTACAAAAAGTATTTTCTTCAAAACGTTAAGATTCTTTTTCAAGAAGCTATCATATTTTTTATAGTTATAGTAAATACTTTATACTAACCACACCTATGCATACTAAACGTACTACAGCAAGAGAAAAGATTTATTAACAAACAGTGTATGGAAATGTCCGAAATCTATTTTATACTTAGATATTTTTTTTATTTTTATTTTTTTTTGTTTTTTTTTGTTATGAGATTGAAATTCAAGGTCGCACGCAATACCTGAAGCTGTTGAAAGATGGATTTATGACACTAAAAATTCTCGTACACAATCTGTTTCCATAGGAAAGTAGCTTTGGAGATTATGTGCCCAACAACAACAATAACGAATTTTATGACTTTTATGTTTTTTATATCTTAAACAATTATAGAATTTTAAATAATTTTTTTTAGTTTTAATTTTATTTTGTTTATGTATTTTCTCAGTACTTACCAATAATTGCATGAACTCTGACGCTTAACTGGGTGCGCACCACCAAAGAATTTTTGCGACTGTAAGATAAGCAAAAGGAAAAAAGAGGAAAAAATATACATTAGAACTTTGTGCAGGCAATGCATTATTAAATAATATTAAATAAAATTTTGTTAAATTATTACAGCACATATGATTACAAATAAGTGCAGCTGGTAAAAAGCTAAAAGCCAAGTTAATTGAAAATTTATAGAAACATTCTGACGATCAGTGCTCAGCGCTTAGCGCTCGCCAGTCTAAAGTATCTTTTGTGACCGACGAAGAGTAAGAATTTTTTGTCTATTGTTTGCACGTTTATACTTGGCTTGACTTTCGATGCTGATTACATTGCCAGTCAGCGTAGTCAGCGTAGTCAGCGCAGTCAACGCAGTCAGGCAAGCCGAGTTCAACGACCACTTAAGAACATTGATTGCTGAATAATAATAATAATTCCAGCGAGCACCAGAATATGTATAATTGAAAGAGGGTAAGGCAGAACGAACGGATCGCGAGTACTCACAGCACAATGTGAAATCAATGAAAAATTGTTCAAAATCGAATGAGAAGTACGCGCAAGCTTTCCACCAGCTAGAAGAGATGAAGACGGGCACGGGCTTAGCGCTAGATTATACCAGCGCGCAAGTACGATACCAAATTAACAATTTTAATATCTGTAATTGTATGTGTGCGATCACAGGTCGCCGATAAGCACGATAAGCACATATGCATATGGTTGAAAAAAGTTGGAGTACCGTACTAAGACGCCAGCCAAAGCGCACCATACCTTAACTTCCTATTTGGGATTCCATCTTTGAAGCCTCAGCCTCTGATGAGTTATAAACGACTTTGGCTTATAATTTTGCTTATAATTTTGTGCATCTCATTGTCAGCAAAGCAACGGCAACAGCAACGGCAACAGCAACGGCAACGGCAACACAATTGATTTCTGCAACATAATTGCGCAAAACGATATTACGAGTGTTTTTTATCGCTTATGTTATATGCCAAAAAGGATGCAGCCAGTGCCGCTGCCAGTACCAGTGCCAGTGCCGGCAGCACTGCGGCGGCGTTGTACTCGTAAGTCTTAAATTTTAAGTACTTTTGTTTGGATTATTTTGAGCACTGAGACAGTCGTCATCGTAATCTTGATGGCGCACATTTTGTTTTGTAATTTGCATGTCGGCGACATCTACACAAATTCCTCTTGTTTGGCATGTGGTAATGGGCCATGTTTATAATTTAAGTGTACAATGTCTCCTGTGGCCACGTCTACCCTCACCCTACCCTTTCCGCATGCGCACAGCTCGCTTTATGCATTTTTCATGACATCACGTTTCAGCCATAGTTTCTTACTTCAGTACTTCATAGTCATAGTTTCTTTTCAGTCTTTAGACTGATTAGACTGCGCAAGTATGTACGGCTAAGCCTCAGATAGTCTTGTATTATTTTAGTTTTGTGGGTTTGATTGGTTAAATACGGATTACATGTAAATTAACTGACATTTTTACGCTTCCCTTGCCGTATCTCAGCCAGTCGGCATTGGCGAATAGTAAATTGTCCATTCACTATTCGTTCGTTGAGGAATAGTTGAAGTTGTTGGCACGTTTTGCTTGTTTCGTTCACAATCATAAAAACACATTTAAAATAAATGTCTTACTCAAAGGATGTCTCAGATCCGCAATATCAGATATCATACTCGTACATAAAAGCATATAAAAGTTTAAGTGTAAATATGTTTATGACTGTTAACCATTATGAGGGAGTTATAAAAACTTCATCCAACTTCAAGAAGACATAAATCAATCGATAACAAATAACATAAATAAATTTCAACAATGACAGGAGTAGAGTCTTTTGAATTATTAAGTTTTCAATTAATAATTTCAGTTTATGTGCTTAAGTCAAATATAAAATATCCTCCTCTATAAAGATACAAAATAAGATTATGTGTCATTTATACAAATATGTTAAGAAGAAAGATATGAGGATAAGTTTAATTAAAAATATGGTCTCCTTGCATCATCGACCGAAATGGTAGTATCTTTTTGAACCACTAAAACTATCTCTTAGGATTGAATGGAGAAGATTTTCACCGTAATGTGGAAACTTCATTCCAGTAATTAAGAGGGAAATGTGCTCAAAAGGCTTAATAACTAGAAGTCTAGCTTCATTTTATCTAAGCCAAGAAAGGTAGAATCAAAAGAGATGTGTCGTATAAAAAGACTGAGTGCTGCTTCTCTGTTCCTTGTGTTTTACTCCTAGCAGAGCTTAATTAAAGAAGAAGATCGCTTTTGATTTTTTATGTTGACTGTCATTATTAATTTTTTCGTTATGAATTTAGCGGTTTTAAGATATTGTGTTTGTTTTTTCTTTTTTTGGAAAGTTTAAAATGTATAGAACATATACGACAAGTAATAATGGTGATCTCAGGACTCCATCACTTAAATTTTGTTACGATTATGTGATTTCTATCAATTCGGATTTCAAATTGTGCAAGAAACTACTCAGCAGGTATATTATTATGGTATTCAACAACTAGGAGTAGAATCAATATTTGAAGCAGATTTCTAAAATGGTTTTGACTACAAATCTCAGTTACTTTTAAAGCTCAGTTTGAAACTTCTCATTATGACTGTTACATTTCAATATCTAAGACTTAGATTATTGAAGAATATTATATTTTGGAATATTATATAAAAATAATATATATATATAGTGTAAAAATGAAAACTAATTCTTATTAAACATTTGCATCGGTTACCACAATTTATAGGATAAGGCCAATCGTTATAATTCTTATCTCCACAAAATAGGTGGAAATTTTTTGTCAACTAGACAGAAGACCAGGATGACTTCGTTATAATATTGAAGCAATATAACGTCCCATTGCTCATTATTAGAGCATAAAAGCATCACACACGAATTCTTTATTAGGGTTAGAGCAATGGTTGATATAGTAAAGGTAAATAACACGTTGTGACTAATCTGCTCAGGTTATCTGTTTAGTATCGGTTGCATATTTCCAAAAAATGCCAACAATTACAAGTGGAATTATATTTCATTAATATTATATTTTCATAATATACAATGAACAATCCTGTAGTCTGTAACATCAGTTCAATGCATATATCCTGATGGTTACTTTAAAAATATTCACAACCAACACACATACATATTTTTTCTTGTTGTATTCCTAGAAATCTTAGTTCTACTGATATTAATTATGGATATAATTTACAAACGTGGAGCTACAATAATGGTACAAAGTTCTCTCTAAACATGAACGAAATTTCTAGCCAAGTAATTATGACGAACGAACCACAGTTATGAACCTCATAACCACAGTTATGATATCTAACATTGTACTTACGATTTAGTACAATGTTTTCACATGCTTGGCTTCACTCTTAAAATCTAATACGAATTATTGAGTTTCTCAACATCATGATATAGTCCAATGTATTATATAAAACTGGATTATTCATATCTGTTCTACTTCATGCTCAATGCTGTATGATTGCCAATAATCTCAATTTTTTAGATAAGCTAGAATCTTTTATTAATACTAATATTACATATAAATTAATCTTTCTCCAATAAACGTAGGCGGCGCAGCATTATTGCAAATAATCTCAATTTAATAGAGAAGCTAGAATCTTCGATAAATACTAATCTAGGTATATAATAATCTAGCTCAAATTAACCTAGGGGCGCTGCATGTTTGCTAATAATCTGATTTCAATTGATAAGCTAGAATCTTTTATAAATATTAATATCACATCAAAAATTTTGTTCTTCTTGTTCGGATTAACGTAGAGGACGTTTCTATTCTACATTAATCTCATTCATCCGAAACTAATTGTATACTCTAGAAAGTTCTACGTAAGATTGTCTTATAAACTCTGTTATTTAAAGTATTATCCGTCCCCAACAAACTTCTTTCTATCGGCAAGTAAAGTAAGGTAATGATTTAATTTGCATGAATACAGTAAATCAGTTTTACCGCTCCAAATTTAAACACAGAAGCTTGGAAATTACCAATTCCTACGCTTTCAAACTTTATCATTATAGAAAAAATTTCCCGAAACTAATCCACGGCATATGTTCTTTTGAAGCTGGATTTGAGTTTTCTACAATTATCTAAGCAGCAGAATGCCACTTCAGCTGCATAAGATAATTGCTGCATTACAAATTAGAATCAAACTAGACTAATCTCACGCACTGTCATATACCGAGTGATGTGTCCGGGTATGAATGCATATGCATGTGAGTAAGTAAATGTTTTTTATTTGTCTTTAACATTTTAAAAGTAATTTTATCTTATATTCTGTTTTAGTATACTTTTTATTTAATTTATGCGGCATAATTTTCTCATAACTCATTTTATGTTTCGCGTTTTTACTCTGTTTTGCAGAATGTTGCCTGCAATTTTATCTGCAATAAATAATCAAGTGAAAGGCTTCCAAACATGTTACTTTCTGCCAAGCGGACTCACGTGCATTAAATAAAAAAACACCCACTCTTTGTAACCGCAACCTCTAAGCAGCGTTGCATACGAGCGGCGCAAGAGCAGCCAGTCGATATGGATATGGAACGTTACTTACGCATGCACATGGTTACAACCCCAACCAAATAACCAGACAGACAATGTAAACGAAAACGTACTTGTATCTCATGAACTCAACAGGAAGAGCGATCATCTTAAAGCGCAAATTGCCCCAGAAACCCAGTGAAAATATTACCATCACCATCGCCATCGCCATCGTCATCGTCAACGGCATTACCACTGCCAAAACATTGCCATCGCCATTGCCATCGCCATCGCCAACGTCAATTGTCAACTCTGCAACAGTCGAAGGCAACACTCATTTTAGTTGACTGGGGCAAGTTGCAAAACTCGCTTCCACTCGCTTCGATTGTGTTCCTGCACTGAACGTTCGGTTCGTATGGGTACGCAAACACAATGGGTTCAAGGTAAATTACACCGCTGTCCATTTCGCGCATAGGCCAGCCAGAAAAGTGAAACTAACACCAAAAATAAGCACAGAAATACTCGTACAGAAAAAAAAAAGATTAAAAAAAATTAAGAAAGGAAACGAGTACAAGTCAAATCTTTTGTATGAAAATATATTATGCGAACTTTCGACAGTTCTGGCAAATATCTTTCTTTTTTTTCGAGCTCTGGAGCTCCAGAAAAAAGATTGCTTAGCATTTTGCTGTTAGCTTAGCGGTTTTGTTCCACAAATAAATCTTTTGTTTGCGCAATTTTGTAATTTGGTTGCACGTCTGTCTGTACTTTCAAAACTAGAAATGAATTAACTTATAGTCGTGAAAGTGTTAATCGGAAAGAATAATCACAACCGCAATCAATGAAAAATGATGCCTTCGAGGCGAGCAAGGAAGACATAACTCAAAAGTCTCTCTTTTTGTCTGCCTTAGCAATGTAAGTAATGTTTCTATTTTAGACCAGGAAGTCTGTTCTTTAGACTTTCACATTAAGGAAATGGAAAAAATTTGAATTTGTTTTTGTATGGTATTAAACGATACAAAAGGTACTAACACATGGTAAAGTAGGAAAAACACATCTGCAGGAAATAGTTAATAATTGCACAAAGAAGATTTAAGTGTTGTTTAATTTGTAAGTAGCAAAATCATAATAAATAAGCTCTTCCCATTTGTAAATCATCAATAAAAGAACATAAAATTTGGTTACAAACAATAGAAAATATAAAATAGAAAATAATCGAAAATAAGAGCCTTTCAGCAAGGTCTTAGTTTATATGGTAAGCCATATGATTTTTTATTTGGAATTCTTTTCTCATTTTATTATCTTCAGAAATCTTAACCATCTGCGGTAATCACTTTTTGGCTCAAGCAATCACTCAATTCAAAATATATTGAATAAATAAATTATATATATGATGGGTATTTGGCAAGACTTGAACCAGCAAACTGATTGATCCGCAAAAGAACCCATTAATTATAAATACAATTTACTTATAGTTTATTATTGTTTTTAAATTTTTAATTTAAAATTATTATATATTATTCATTATTCAAAATTAATTCGGTTCTTGTTATTCTATTTACTGTATTTATATGCACAACAAACTCATGGACTTAGATTTGACAGATTCAAGCATACACTCGTTCGTGCTCTTATGATTCATACGCTATCTTTTTCTTTAGTGTGGCATGGTAGATAGGATATGACAAAATGAACGTATGACCAATGACCGTACATGAAGGAAAGTCCCGAGTAGGCGGACGCATCTACCGTATTCACCAGATTTGGTGATTAGCAACTGTTTGCAAACCTCAAAAAAATTATTCAGAAAAGAAGAATTGGGTAATGAAAAAGTCGTTGTCAAAACTGAGTCATGTTTTAAGTCTAAGATATAACATTCTACAAAGAAAATATTAAAATGTTAAAGAAGCGCTGAATGGATTACATTGAGACTACGCCGATGAATACAGTCGTTTTTTGCCAATAAATTGTTGGTTTTCTGGCTATTCTTTGGATTTATTAGTCAATATTTTATTATATAATGTTAAGGACATTATTTTGATTAAGACATGATCAACCGTATGAGTATAGCTAGCCAATGTGCTAGACTTCAAAAAAATAATAAGCAGGCTTATACTGGATTCACACGAGTATTTTGTCAGCCATCAAAAATTTGAAATTGTCATCTGAAATCAAAAAGCTAAACATTCCTTAAAATTATTCACAATAGCAAAAGTTTGGACTACACAATACTGTACTATGGTGAACTGTTCAAGTTAAAATCAACTTGATTTTGATATTTTCAGCTGTCAAGATTCCCATATAAATCTTCTTGATTTGAACTTGTTTTGCTATCGATCGTGTAAAAACTTCCGTGTGAATCTAGTAAAAGACTATGCCTAGTGGATCTTAGTGTATCACAGGAGTCTCGTTGCTATATAAACAAATAATCCGTAACGTACATGAGTTTTTTCACATATTCAGACAGAGTCATTAAGAAGAAAAATAATGAAAGTGAAGATGATATAGCACATATAATAAGAACGTAGGCTACATTTGTATTTTTATTTAAGTGGCATCATAATTATATGGATCTATATTCGTATAACATAAATGACTATTAGTTTTGGATTACCTCTCCGTAGCATTGCGACTTTGGTGTCTTAAGTAATGTCAATCAATCGAATGGCATTACTTTATGTTCATTTATTTTTATAATTAGAGTGTATTTATAGATTTTAATCGAAGAAACCAACGTTTTATCTATTAGAAAATTGTTTTTAATACTCAAAATTCAGATTTTATCATTAATCATAAATCTTATTTCCCACAACAATATTATAACAAATTATTGCAGTGGATAATACTGCCACTTTGAGTTATCATAAAGATCTTGTGATGCTAACATAAATATTTAGTGAAGAAAATAATATATTTATCTTTTTCTTGAAACTAAATATTATAATATGTGGCATCACACTTTCATCAGATATTATACCCAAAAGCGTATTCCGCTTATTAAATTTCGTAAGGGTTCGTCTGGTACAGCAGCTACTGCTGCACCAAATACTGCCGTTGCAGGAGCTGCAGGAGCAGCTCCTGCAGGACCACCTGCTGCAGGAGGAGCTCCTCAAAATGTTTGTATACAATTTAGATACTATTTACTAGTTTGTTTTTGTATTGAATAATAACTTAAGTGATAGCTCTTAAATGAATATAAAAATACTTAATATTTTTGTTTTTGTTTAGGCTCCTGCCGCATCATCAAATGCCATAGAAGACTATGATCTTCCTGAACGTTATAAGCGCAAACCATTGACCGACTATGAGATTGAGTACATAAATCAAGGAGGTCCACCATAAGAACTCAATATGTTAATTGTAGCAGTATAACTATTTTAATACCAAATTATTAAACGAAATTTTTTAATATTATGGGAGCACAAATGGAATGAAAATAGATTAAGTTTGGTAACAAAAAGTTCTCATTTAGTTTCAAAGTATATTTCTTCAATAAATTAATAAAAAAGGTTAACGTTATTAAATGCAAACTAGCTCTTTTAATTGAAGTTATTAAAAATATTAAATTTAGTATAAAAATTATTTTAAATAAAATTGGAAAGGATATTATTAGTTAAATAATTTATAAATAATATTAAATTATTAAATAAATAATAGTAGAAAATATTAGTTAAAATTAATGTCATTAATTTTCTGCTGCACATATTCATATTTCTTGATATATAGCCAAGACGTTAAAATAAATTATAATTAAAAAGCATTTTATTTACCTAGAATTGAGGCCTTCAATATCTTCTGACTGTTCTGCCAAAGAGGACTCCAAGTCCAAATATGCTCCATAATCACCATCCTTGTAGACTTGTATAGCAGCATCATCGATCTGCAATGAAAGCAAAATGTTATTATCGAAAAAACGTTTATATTATTAATAAAGGATTATATATAATATATCATTCATAGTATATCAAAGTCTGATCTGATTCGCTGGTGTTTTTATTAATTTTTATATAAAATGTGTAGTTGGAAAAGTTAACAGTTTTAGATTTAATAGACTTATTTTTATCTAATTACGCAGCTGTGTAGGATATTATCAAATATTATGTTTTTTGACTTCTAGTGGAGGATATAGTTCCGGTAGGTCCTCCAAATCAAATTATGTTTGAAACTGAGGTAGATATTTTTTTTTTTGTTTTTTTTATTATTTGAAACACAATATGTACAATAATATAAATACATGTTTCATTTGACTACGACTAGTTCATACAAGAACCATCAAGCAGTTTTGTTACATTTCAGAATACTTATTAGAATTGTGAAGTTGTCAAAGACGTAGTGTTAATAGTAGTAATCTAAATTATTATTAGACTACTAATTCGGGAGTAGATCTGAAGGCTTTGTTCGTTTAAGTCTTCTCAGCAGGCCAGATGTATTAGACAGATGGGTGACTGTCTCGTTTGGATGCTGTTGTAATCGTTTTTAGTGCTTTACCACGAGCTTCTGGATTACTGCAGCCACAGATTCGATCTACCTCCCGATGGAGGTCAGTATTCCTAATAAACCACGGAGCGTTGACTAAGTTTCTTAAAACTTTGTTTTGAAAGTTTTGAATGATTTGAATAGTGGATTTTGGTGCACATCCCCATAACTGGATTCAATACGTCCACACCGGAGCTAAGACTTGCTTGTGTATCATTAATTTATTATTTAGAGAGACGGGTGATTTGCTCCCAAGAAGCCAATATAAATATGAAGCCAATATAAGGTAGATATGGCGTACATATGAAGTACTTACACAAATCATGTGTCATTTGTTATCTGTTATAAAATGTCTATTCTATTAAATGAAAGACCATGTTGATAAGCAACATAAGTATGACTTACCCCCTATAGAATTGATTTATAGACTTGCTTGGTAATGTATGTGTCTGAGTTCGGTTTTCACTGAGTCTGATTCATATATCTCAATTTTTAATAATTAAATCAAAACTTCTCGTTATATTTCACTCAGGGTTTGAATTGCTTGCTGAAAATTAGCAAAAGCAACCATATTTTGACTAATGCATAAATATTAACCAGTCGATTTTTGTCAAACGACTAATTGCTAACGCATTGCATATGAAAATGAAATAAAAATATGCATTAGCAACAGCAAAAAACGTAAACTGGTTTCATTTTGATTGCTTGCTAATAGTCAATTTTACATTTTTGACTATTATGCATTTGGAATATATGCAACTTGCTTGCTTATGCGTTAGCTGCTTGTGTTTTGCTATTAGCAAATGTGTATGGATTTCTTCTTTTTGTTTTTGTTTTAAGGGAATATGTACGCATTATTTCTTTTGTTGGTGCATTGAATATAGTTGTGCAAAATTGTAAGTAATGTGTGTGCGTACAATTTGTATGCAATTAATATAATTTTATCTGTAAATAGATTATGCCTAAATTTATGTTTTTTTTAATTATTAAATTTATGCTATATATGATATATATGATATTAATTATTAACTATTAATTTATATCTTATATATATAATTCTTCTGTACGTGTGTTGACAGTGAACTCCTCCTAAACGGCTGAACCGATTTTGATGAAATTTTTTGTGTGCGTTCAAGTGGATTCAAGGAAGGTTTAGATTCACAATTTGACCCACTGGATAATGCCTTTTTAATTAATTTTTTATTTTTTGGTATCCATATACATTTATATTAGAAATTTAAAATTTATTCATGCTTACTTTGATTTGTTTCAAAAGTTTAAAATCTCTAAAATGAATCGTAAAACTGTCGTTGCATAGCTTAAGTGCATTTAAATTCCGCAGTATAATTATAGGTGAGCCAATTTTTAATCTTAAGTTATGTGTTGGTATTCCTGGTATTCCAGCGAATTCAAAAATTCAACAGGATGGTATATGGATACCAAAAAACTGTATAATAATTAAAAAAACGTTATGCAGTGGATCAAATTGTGAATCTAAACCATCCTTGAATTCACTTGAACACACACAAAAAAGAAGAATTCTATATATAAAGACATAAATAACGTACAAAAAACAATGCCACGTCTTCGTGGACGAGGAGGAAATATTAGTCGACGGACTCGGAATTCACAATTACTCCAGAACCATCGGTTAAATAGATCTGCAGAAAACAATGAAAATGTAAGAAACCAGAATACAATCACACGTGCTAATGAAAGTCAAGAGCAACGCAACGAACGCCTTCCGACACATTCATCATTTCGTCGCCTTGCGTTTGAATATGAGTCGAATATCAACTATTCGTCACATTCACGAATTGTAATCGGTGCTATGAACAAACAGTGCCAACACTGTCATGCACTCAAATACAAAGATGAATCGGCCGGTTTCTGTAGCGGTTTCTGGAAAAGTTGTATTGTCACCATTGAATTCACCGCCAGAACCATTGAAAGCACTATTGGCTGGAGCTACATCTCAATCTAAATTGTTTTTTCGTAAAATTCGCAAATTCAATTCGTGTTTTCAAATGCAATCATTTGGAACAACAAAAATCGTTCAGAATGAGAATGGTCGCAATTTTCAATCAACGTTTAAGATTCAGGGTCAAGTGTATCACCAAATTGGTTCTTTAATGCCGATGCCCAATAACGATTCCAAATTTCTGCAAATCTACTTCATGGGTGATAAGAAGCAGCAAAGAAACGCACGTTGCCAGTACAACCATATCGAGCAGATGGAGGAGCAAGAAATTGTGAGTATTTTAGAACCGTTTTTAAAAAATCACAACCAGTTTGTCCAGTTGTTCAATACCGTTTCAAACAGACTGCTAAACGACAGCTATACAAACCAGGAATGCTACCATATAACTTAAGATTAAAAATTGGCTCACCTATAATCATACTGCGGTGAAATTGTTTATGAAATCTGACAGACTTACCAACACCGCGTTATCAAATCTCTGAATGGTTACAAGCTCCTCGGGGAGGTATGCAGATCTGAGGTCAATAATTGCTTAGTCTGATGAAGTGATAAACAATAACCTTTTTTCATTTAAAATGTAGTGCTTATAAGGATTTGAAGTAACATGAAAATATTTGTAACATAAGTAATGCATGTGGACTTTTTGAAGTTCAAAATAAAAAATTAATTTAAAATAATTTTCGCATTAAAATGCTAAATGTTAAGTTGAATAACAACAAATATTATAACTCAGCTGCGCCAGGAAAATTAATTGCAAGGGGAAACAACGTTCGCCGGGTCAGCTAGTATATATATATATATATATATATATATAATTATTAATTTATATATATATGTTTATATTTGTGGGAAAATTTTAAGTAATATGTAGAACATATTATATACAAAGTTGCCGTTATTCTAAAGTGTTTCATTTTAATCGGTGTATCATGGCTCCGCGACTTAATAAATTCGCAATTCTTCAACATTTTAATATAAATAGTGAGGCGATTTAGCAGTTCGACTTCTTCGTACAGCTCGTTGGAGATGCTTTTCAATACAAATTTTTTATTAAATTTTTCTTCTAAGCCACGACAAATAGGGTCAATAATCTTTCTCATATTTTCCGAATTAAGGACATTAAATGGAATAGCGAAATAACTCTTTTTTGCTCATTTCGATTTTAATTGTTTGTTTTCGGAATGATTTTTTCACAACTATTGCACTACTACTTGAGCTGGAATCTTCATTTTTATTTATATTTAACTGGTGCATATTTTTTAAATGTGTTCTTAAATTAAATATTCTGTCCCTCTTCAACGAATGTTTGCAAATTTTACAAACTGCTAAATCGCTATCACTATTTATATTAAAATGTTGAAGAATTGCGAATTTATTAAGTCGCGGAGCCATGATACACCGATTAAAATGAAACACTTTAGAATAACGGCAACTTTGTATATAATATGTTTTACATATTATTTAAAATTTTCCCACAAATATAAACATATATATTTATTATTTTATATATAAACTAGATAACCCGACAAACGTTGTTTTGCCTTATAAATTATTTCTAGTTTCTAGATAAATTCTAGTGTAGACAAAAAGTAACTTACTTATTATAAGTGTGTAAGTATGTAGTATATGCATGAAATAGGCATGGAGCACTATGAACGAAAAGGAAAATAAATATAACAAACGCCAAACAATATTATTTTTAAGTTATTATAGTTTATTTATTAAATTATTAATTTAAAATCAATAGATTTGTATGATACCAAGTTCCCTGGCAACAACTGTTGTATCTTCAAATTTAAATTGTCTTGGATTGACTCTAAATAATAATAATGATAATGGGCCAGTAACATTAACCAACAACAGTTGAAGATAAAAGCACTCAGTGTGTCTTGGATTAACTGTAAATAAGCCTTCGATTTAAATAAATTGAGACATGCATCAACTGGTGAAACTTGCTTGCGGGGCATCCATTTTTTTGTTTGAGCCCATGTGAAATAGCGTGGTACTTGTGAATATATCCGTCGGTATTTGTTATAGTATCATTAGTGAAATCTTTAGAAAAATTTTTAGTACATTTTCCATCTGCCATCCAAGGCGAAGACGAAGAAACGAAGTGGATGTAAATGCTCGATGTACTTGTTGGCGTAGTTACATAAAATATTAAGAAAAAAATTTTTCTTTTTCAAATATATAAAAAAATTTATGTCCAAAAAATAAAAAAGTTTTTGTTAAAGCAATAAGGATATTTTTGCTGGGTAGGGACTCCCTAATCACTTTAGCGGTATGAAAAATAGATAGTAGCCGATTCTCAGACCTACTGAATACGCATATAAAATTTGGTAAAAATCGGTAAAGCCGTTTCGGAGGAATACGGTAACTAACATTGTGACATGGAAATTTTATATATAAGACCGCAAACAGAC